ATATAAGAATTAACCTAATATTTATGCTTTCCAAAACATGAAATTAGCTATTGAACTTAATTATGAATCGAAAAGCTGGCTGTACCCTTCTAATACGGCATCGGTTGCAACTTTCACCGACATAGGCATCTTGCCATTGACTGCTACGAGTTTGCTCACTTGAAGTCGTTGCCGCCACCACAACGCAAGACTGCTTCCATCACTTTCTGTAAAAGTGACAAAACAGTTGTCCAGTGTTCGCCACCTGAGCTCTTCGAATGCCTCGTGCACTACAGCTATAAGACTATCGGTGTCATAAGCAGCCTTTCGGTACTGCAGTGCTTGAATAGAAGAAAAATAGCCTAAATCCAATACATTCAGATCGGGCGAACGCGGTGGCTGACAACGCATTTTGATGCTCGAGCCGTCAACCTTTCCCGCTGTCTCCAACTCAGCATCGTTCTCTAAAACGTGTGGCCCTGCGTTGTCTTGCTGGACTACGACGGTCGACCCTCTGCGAGCTAAATTTACAAAAATCCCATCACAATATTAACCCTTTCGTGAACGGGTACTTTTGACCTGGCTAAATTATAGTATAGAAGGTCAAGTCATTAGGCCATCAAAGGGGGCATTTGCCCCCTTTCATAAACTACGGTAAGGAGAAAAACCAGTAGAGGGCCGACGAAATTTTTAACCAGTTATGCGTCTCGTTCAAAATAACATCCATTCATTGGAACATAATCACTAAGTGCGAAACCTCCCAAGTTAAATTCATAAATTTGTGGCGGGAACGTTTCGCGCCATAAGGTTTAATGCAGCTGTGCATTGAGTTCCGCAAAACCATTCATATCCGTTCCCGGTGACTAATAATCTAGGACAAGAGCTACACACTCATTTCCCATTCTGCCACAACACATACAAGTGCTCACTATGGCCAAGGGCCACTCAACACACTCCCTGAAGACCAAGATTGCTGTCGTCTGTGAAGGCCAAGATTGCTGTCGTCTGTGAAGTACAAAGTGGTGTTCCCGTTGCTACAGTTGCTAATAAGTGGGGTATTATCGAGCGGACCATTCGAAAGTGGATAAAGAAGCAAGAAGAATTAACGTCGTTAGAGCCTAGACGTCAAGGGACAAAGCCACGACTTCCGCCAGAAGCAGAGCGTCATGTATTTGAGTGGATTGTTGCTCGCCAGCGTTTTGGCCAACCCGTTGATCGATCTGTGATTCTTAAGAAAGCAAACGAGATATCACTGCTAGTTACTGGATTAAGTCTATCCAGTGGGTGGTACCCTCGTTTAGTCAGCCGCCACCCGAAGTTGACCACTCGAGTGGCCCAAACACTGTCCCTAAAGCGCAATTGTGTCGTTTTCGAAGACCTGACAACACTGTTTAACACTATCGCTAAACTGGTTATTGAACTAGATTTAGACAGCACTAGATTATTCAATATGGACGAGACGGCTTTTCAGACACGGAAAAAGAACAAAAAAGTTGTGGCAGTTCGGGGATCAACTAACGTGTGGTGCGCGGACCCTTCTGTCATCTTCCACCTCTCAATCGTCGCTTGTGGAAGTGCTGCAGGGTATGTAGTCCCTCCTGCATACATACTTCCAGGAAAGACTGTCCCGTGGGATATATTGCAGGGCTGTGGTGTTACGAGCGCAGCGGTAACCACCTCGTCGACCGGATTCATCAACCCCTATTTGTTCAAGAAGTGGCTGGATTTTTTTTCTACATCAGTGCCAGCTTCAGTCAAGAGGCCACTATTGTTGGTACTAGATGGCTGTAGATCTCACTACTCGACAGAAGTCATTGAAGCAGCGGCACGTCTTGGCATACTGCTTGTCCTCCTTCCTCCGAATGCCACTCATTTGTTGCAACCACTTGATGTGGCGGTGTTTGGTACACTCAAGGTGAAGCTGTGTAACCTGATTAAGGAGTTGGTAGAAGATGATGAAGATGGATGCTACTCAATAAGCAAACCCACCGCCATCAAATTGGCGAGTATA